CATTAACCCACCCACAAAAGGGGAATAACTGTACCTTTCCTGCCTTACCCCTCAGGATTATGGGGAAAAATCCAGTGAGATGATAAATAGAAAAGTGCTTCATAAGAAAAATATAAGGGGCTTTGATTCCAGTCCAGGTGTGAGCCAGATGATAGGGGCCATGGGGATAAAACACCCTCCACTGAAAGAATTCCTCTCCCTTCCCTACCTCTTTTCCTGCTATAGAAATGCTGGGAATCCCTCCAAGAAGGGTTGGAAAAAGCCAGAGATCCCAGAGAAAACAGGGGTCACAGAAGGAATGCTGGACATCTGGGCCTTGTCTGGATGACATTCATGAAGCCTGCCTCCCCTCCCCCAAAGAGACAGCCCCTCCAGCTCTTAGACAGGCAGCAAGCCACAGGGGAACGAGCAGCAGCGTGGGGAACCAGAGCCAGCATTTCAGAGCCCTGATACGGGAGGAGGAGTGGGTAAGCAAGAGGGGTGGAGGGGTAGAGGATGCGGGGGAGGGCGCATTCTCCTTGTTGAGTCACCCACGCTTTCATCCCTCCTGCAAGAGATAATAACACAGCCACCTTCGTGTGACAACTGTACCTATGCCATTTTCCTTCTCTGAGCCTCGGCTTCCTCATCTGTAAAATGGGGTGCTACACTGAGTCCAGTTTAATAAATATGACTGCCATCCTTCCATCCTTTGAAACCAAGGAGGCTCCCAGAGCTAACATTACACTCTTTCCCCAATTTGGAGTTGTTTGAAGAAAAATCTGAAGGTACTTCCAGGACAGAGCCTGGGCTCTGAGGGCATCTTCTGACGAAGTGGATGAGATTAGCTGTGCTGGGGGTGGGGGGGTGGGGAGGGAGAGTGGGGAAGAAAAGGTGGCCTCTCCGTGGCTTAGAGGTACAAGCTTCAGTGGAGGGGATGGGAACCCCCACCACTTGCCAAGGATGTTAGAAACCTTCCTGCTTCTGTGAGCTCTGTGCTATTTGGAGAAAAGGCTGACCCCTGGGCAGTGGACCACACGGGGGCACTTTCCCAACATTCACCACCGGGAGGAAGTGACCCACCACCCACCTGGGGCCTGCCCTCCTTATATTTGGGAGAAAAGGTGAAGGAAGGGGGCACCTATGTGCAGCTGGAGACAATCAAGACTCTTCACATGACTGAAGAGTATGGAAGGAGGGGGTCCCTCTGTGAAGCCTGCAAGACAGCTGGCCACCCTCCTCCCTCCACTCATTAATTCTGACCAAACTGAACTGCTCCTGCCTCTCCCCTCCATGCCTTCCTCCTGTAGAGCCCTCCCCTCCAAACCCAGCCCCTTGGAGACTTGGACAAAATGTCCCCTCCTCCAGGAAGCACATTTTGACTGCTGTGCCCCTGCTGCTCCCTTTTCCCTGAGCTCTCTTCTCTGAGCCTCAGTTGTACTGTTCCTGTCCCGCCCCCACAGCAATGTGCACTGCTGACTGTGTCACAGCCACACCTACACACATTTATTTCCCCTCTGGGGGACACAGATGATTGTAGTGGTCTCTAGCACACCATTTGGAGGTAGGCAGACTTGAGCTCAAGCACCAGTTCTGCCATTTATGAGTCATCTGATCATAAGAAAGTCGGTTACCTCTCTGAGTCTCAGTTCCCTCTGGGAAACGGGTGCAATAACAGTACCTACTCCATTGGGTTGTTGTTGCAATTATGTGAGATAATGCACACTAACTATTCAGCACGGAGCCTGGCACAAGGCGGGAGTTTGGTTAATGTGACTTATTTGTTACGGTGATCTTTCAGGAGCTTCATAGATGATTGTTCTTTCTATCTGCCACAGAGTCACACATTGGATGGGTAGGTTTATACAGAGGCAGGTCTGCACACAACATAAGGAAGCCCTTTTCCACAGGCAGAGCAGTGTAACCTGGGAAGGGCTGCTTCTGCAGGTCATGAGCTCCGTGTCACAGAGCAGCAGACATAGGATAACTAGCCACTTGAACTACCAGTGAGAGGCAACAGATGTGGCAATAGAGATGGGCTCTGAAGACAGACTCCTGGCCTCCTCTTACTCAGTATGTGACCTTCACTAACTGTGCCTCAGTTCCGCATGTATAAAATGGGGATACTAATAGTACCTACCCAAAAGACTATTTTTTTAATTTCTTTGTTTTATTTATTTCTGAGAGAGAGAGAGAGAGAGAGAGAGAGAGAGCATTATCAGGGGAGGGTCAGAGAGAGAGAGGGAGATACAGAATCCGAAACAGGCTCCAGGCTCTGAGCTGGCTGTCAGCACAGAGCCCGACATGGGGCTTGAACCACGAACCGTGAGATCATGACCTGAGCCGAAGTCAGACGCTTAACCAACTGAGCCATCCAGGTGCCCCCCAAAAGACTATTATGAGGATTAAATGCTCAGCACAGGGAGAAAATTCAATAAACATTACCTATTATACTTATTATTATCATTATTGGCATTTGTATTAATTATCATTAAAGAGAAGAGTTAGAACCCCTTGCAGGCCTCCAAACTGTTTGCTATCCTATAACCCAGGACTCCACCAACATCCTAGAGCACTCTCATAGCTCTGTCCACCCTGCGGGCTTCACTTCCCTTCTGGTTATGGCCCTGCTCCTCCATTAGCTACATGGGTAGGCATATGACATAGGCCAGGACACTAAGAATGTCCCTATCTCCCGCAACAATGACTGACCCAATCAGTCTTTCCCTTGCATTTATATATAGATCCTAGAAGAAAGATAGTTCTTTTTTTTCTGTTTGGGTTGTGGACAGATAGTTCCCAATGAGGGCAGAGAGGAAATACAGCAGTGATGGTAGAGAGACAGAGTCCACTCGATTCACCACCTTTCAATTTCATGGACTGCCCCAGGATCCATTAAAGTCCTTTTCTGGTTTAAACCACTTTGAGTTGAGTTTTTGTCACTTCATTTATAAAAGAGCCATGCCTAGTTGTACAAGCCCTAACCTAGACAAGGACTATGCTGGCCATGGGCAGTGCAGGGTATGAGGCAGTATTGTAACTGCTCCTGTCCATTCTGGCACAATCTCTGTCCTCTGGGCTGCAAGGGACAGTCTACAAAGGCACGTTTTCAAGAATCATCCTGACCCAGGGGTCTTCAGACATTGCTTCCTGGAGCCCTAGGAATCTGCAAAGAGGAACTGCACTTCCCCAAACACCCAGGGAACAAAGGGCAGTAAGAAGGAGTAAGTAAGCAGCAAGATTCTGGATAAACTGCTGCCGAGCCAACCAGAGCAATTCTGCTACAAAAGCTTACGTACTGGCATTCTGCTGCCCCAAAAGATTTGAAATACCCTCTTCTAACTGAGTCTCAAAAGAGCATTAATAAGTAGCCAGGGCTGATGTGTCCATCTGCATTCTACAGAAGAGAAAACTGAGGCCCAGTTCCAGATTTGCAGGCCAAATGATTTCCACTGCATCAGACTCCCTGTGAAAATCTATCACTCCTCACATTTCCTGTCTCCTCCAGTAAACTGATGATGGTTAATACCTGGACTGTCGCCTTTCTTGGCTCTAACCCTTAGAGGGTTGCTTGCTTCTGAGTCTGGCTCCTCGAAGCGCTTACCGGAAGCTCGAGGAACTTGTAGAATAAATGTATGAACCAACTGCTACCTCCCCTTACCATGCCCACTCCTCCCCCAACACACATACCTTAGTTCCCCCTCTCCCTACTCATTTGCCCAAATGTCCAGGAAAGACCAGCAGGCCCCCTCCTGGGAACTCCTAATCCACCTCCTCTGTCCTGGCTGTGCTGTGACTGTGGACAGAGGATTCCTTGTTCCCAGTGCTTCCTGCCCAGAGATCTCCGTGGGGCCCATGTGCTGGCAGGAAAGAGCCAAATCGCTCCTTTTAACTAGAGCTAAAGCCACCCCTTACTCCCCCCCACCCCCACCCCCCGAAGCAATATGCTCCTAGCTCCGCTTGGCATTTATTCTACCTGCCCCAGCTGGCTGTCTCACCTTGTCCCCATAGCCCCTGCTCCCTAGACAAACACATACACACACAAATGCGCACGCGTGGAAAGTCCCCTAGGGGTACAGAGGTGCCTCTGATCTAGTCGAAAACAAACCAGACAATTCTGGAATGGCAACATCACAGAGCTGGCAGATGTGCCTTACTAATAACCCACAATGACATTTGCATATTACTTCACAAATTCCCAGTCAGTAAAACTGCATTGGCTCAGCTCCCTCTCTAGGCCCTCACTCTGCCAGAGCCACAGAACCTCCGAGCTGGAAAGGGGTTTCGACACACCCCATGACAGTGGTTTGCAAAGCATCTCGTGCAGCGCCAAGGAAGGGTTCCCTGTCATTATCTGGAGGCTGCTGGGGGCTGAGGAATCAGCCAATTAGCATCCCCCACACCTATTCCAACTTCAACCACGCCACAACCCCTTTGGCTATTTTGTACACTGAGATTCTTTGGGGTTCATTTGAGAAGGGATTTTCCTGCTGGACAGTTTGAAAACAATTCATTTACTCTGACCCCACTTTCCTCCACTCCCTGCCTTAACAGTATATATATGATCCGGAGGTCAACACAAAGAAAGGCAGCTGCCCACGGTCACTCAGTAGTCAGGGGCAGAACCAGAATGAAAACACCCTCTCCTGAATCTACTGTACACCTGGGAGTGGTTATACAAAAGAAAGCAAGGGCTGCAGGGTCAGTAGATCCAATTTCCAGGTCCAAGGCCATCCATCATGGACATAGGCAAATAGGCAATATAGGCAAAGCACACTGTCTAACACAGAGGTGCTTTGTGAGTATGCATTTTAGTCCCCACCTCAAAATAAGTCAAAACCAGAGCAGACCCTCAGCACCACCCCACTGTTTAAACCCACCAAAAATCTGTGGCCTAGACAATCCTATATGCCAATCCAGCAGTAAAACATATCAAAATAGAGAGCCTGAGGGCCCGGAAGACCAATCTGTCCAACCTAAATGCAAGAAGGAGAACTAGGCTGTGCCTTTGTAACACTCACCCCTCCTCCGTCCACACCAGCTCCCCCAGGGGAAGGACGTTAGTCAGGCACCTGGAAGGAGGAAACAGCGTTAGCTCCTCTGAAACTGAATGTGGACCCAGCAAGGAGCTGGAAACTGAGAGGCTGGCATTTAGCTCTCTGAGGAACCTTAGGGAAGTTGCTGAACCTGTTAAACAGAAAGGCCTGTGTGACTACACAGCAGAGCTAAAGGGAAAGTAACACTTTTGAAGTGGAAGCGCCAGCAGGGGCCAGGCCATGAAGGGCCTTGGAGGCTGAGGTAGAGTTCAGTCTTTGTAACAGCAGTGGGAAATCACTGATTCATAGGGTAGAGAACAGACTGGCAACAGGCAAGAACAGCTCTCAATGTACCCATTAGGGCTTCTTGTAGTTGTCCAGAGAGCTTATGACAAGGGCCCAGACTGGGGTGGTCACAGTAGAGCTAGAAAGAAGTGAATGGATTCAAGAGATCGTTAAGAGGTGGTACCCAGGGGTGTCCGGGTGGCTCAGTCAGTTGCGTGTCCAACTTCGGCTCAGGTCATGAGCTCACAGTTCATGAGTTGAGCTCAGAGCCTAGAGCCTGCTTCAGATTCTGAGTCTCCCTCTCTCTCTGCCCCTCCCCTACTCACGCTGTCTCTCTCTCTCTCTCCTAGAAATAAATAAAATATTTAAAAAAAATAAAAAAAATAAAATAAAAGGAGAGCTTAGGTGGCTCAGTTGGTTAAACATTCAGCTCAGGTCATGATCTCATGGTTCATGAGTTCAATCCCCACATCAGGCTCTGTCCTGACAGCTCAGAGCCTAGAGCCTGCTTCACATTCTGTATCTCCCTCTCTCTCTGCCCCTCCCCAACTCACGCTCAGTCTCTCAAAAATAAGCATTGAAAAAAATTTTTTTAATTAAAAAAAAAGAGAAATGGTACCCAGAGAATTTGGTGATGGACTGGACGTGGGGAGATGAGGGAGAACAGAGGCCTGCCTACCCCTCAGGCACTTCCTTCCATGTCGGTCCTAGTGGTCTCCAGCACCCAAGGAAAAAAAAAAATACCCATTGTTCTCTCAACCTGGCCTTAGTCTCCCCAGTTGTAAAATAAATACGGTTGGACTCAGTGGTCCCTATGTTCCTTTTAGCATTAATATTCTGTTCTGGTTTAATTTGCTCACAGACTATTTAGCGCTCAACTGCAGGCCCCGGCCTCACACACAATGGGGCAGGAGCATTGGAGGGAGAAACCTCAGGTCCCCCGGACTCAGAATAGTAAATCTCCAGGTGGGATGACAGGTGGGATGAGAGGCCTTCACTTTGCACAGAACACAAGAAACAGGTGACTAGGAAGGTCACTTGGGCTGAGGGTGGACCAGCACGAACAAAAGCTGCGAGCCCTACTGCCTGCTCTCTGACCCAGCTCCAGAGGCCAGCATGGGGCTCAGGGCACCGTCACTCCTGCTGTGACATCAGTCCCCCAGCAACTGAAAACCCGCTTCCCCACCCACTGGGGTGAAGCACAGGAGGCCAGGTAGCAATCGTGTCTGGGGAGAAGTGCGGTACAGTGGGTAGAAGCCTGGGGCTCTGTAGCCACGCAGACCTGGTTTGAACTCCACCTCCCTCTAGTTCTGAGGCCTGGGGCAAATCGCTTCACTTCTCTGAGCCCTGGTTTCCTCATTTGGGAAACAGGAGTGATAGCAGCTGCTTCCAGGGCCAACAGGAGGGTCCGGTGAGACGGTGTGCAGAAAGCTCAGCACAGTGCCGTACCACAGGCATCATGGAGGTAGCAGCCTCCATTTACAGGTGTGGAAGCTGAGACCCAGTAAGGTGGAACGATCCACTGAAGACCTCTACAGTGAACCAGTGCAGGGGTGAGAGACCCAGAGCCTGCATTCTCAACCACTCGGTTAAGATGTGTTAATGGTGTGCACCATTCTGATTCCTGCTTCTCAGATGAGGAGATTGAGACTAAAATATCACAAGTCACTTGACCGAGGCTACAGAGAAAATTAACGGTACAAGAGGTATCTGAACTCAGGCCTCCTTGATGAAAAAGCCCATGCATGGTCTTCCCCGTGAATATCTAGAAAGTAGATGTGTATAGAAAAGCTTCAGATTTCAGAGCCCTTTAAACCTGGAACAGGGACAAATGCAAATCTGGGCAGATGGAGGGGGGTGGGGTGGGGAAGCTACCTTGAGAGGAAACCAGAAGGAGCTGGTAAAACAAAAGCTTCTTTCTCAGAAGCCCTCTCTGGGGACTGGGCAAGGAAAGGAGGGGGCTGACAAGCAGGGCCATCATCCTGCCAGGGCTGAGCTGAGGGCTGGATCTAAATAAACAGAAACAGATCCAGCTTGGCTACCAACTTGTTGTGTGATCCTAGGCAGGTCACACACACACATCTACACACACTCAGTTCTCTGTTCCTTCAACTCAAAATGAGATGGTTGTACTGAATGGCGTGGGGATCCCCACTTATAAGAGACTAATAATAACCATTCCTCACAAGCTCCAGACTCCTGATTGGTCCCTGCTCCTAAACCCCAAAAAGTGGCCTCTTAATACTGGCTCCACTATTAGCACAATGGGGTTGAGAAGTCCTGCATTTGGGCTCTGGTTGGTCATCCAGGTCTTTTCCCCTCAACAGGCTTTGGCATCCTCATCTCCAAAATGAGCACATATTGGCGTGTCTGGGCGGCTCAGTCAGTTAAGCATCTGACTCTTGATTTGGGCTCAGGTCATGGTCTCACAGTTCAGGAGATTGAGCTCCACATCCTGCTGACAGTACGGAGCCTGTTTGGGATTCTCTCTCCCCTCTCTCTGCCCCCCCCCCCCCCGCTCTCTGTCGCTTTCTCTCAAAATAAATACATAAACATTTAAAAATGAACACATATCTTTGCCTGATCACTTGCAGAATGGGAAGATCCAAGGAGCTACCTCAGAGGCAAGAAATCCCCTGAGGTAACCAACAAGAAATCCCCTGAGGTAACAACCCTCACCCCAGTCCTCAACCCAAATCCACTGTCAAGTCTTCTAACTTCTTTCCCTCTGGCCCATGTCCCCTGCAGACAAACAGAACCAGAGAGTTCAAGCTGATGGACACCATAGCAGTATCAACAACCCCACAACTAGTAACCACAACCACAGCCGATACCTGACTCCTGACACATGCCAGGCACTGTGCTAAATCCTGCCCTGCACTTGGATTATATCTCAGGTAATCCCCTCAATCAATGGGGTGAAGCCCACTGTTAATCTAGATTGACAGGTGATAGACTAAGTTTCAGCAAAGTCAAGTAACTTGCCCAAGGTCACACACGCAGAGCCAAATACATGAATGGTGTGGCCGCCCAGATAGAGGTAGGCTTTTCATTTGACCTCAGAAGTCTTAATCTTATCGTTGAGGCTTTGGGGTTATCCAGCGTAACATTCTACCACTGGGCATGGCCCAGATATAGGCAGTAGGGGTGGGGAGGGGTGAGTGAGAAATATCTGATCTTCGCCCCCCAACACAGCTACCCCATATAACTAGTCTTCATAGTCTTGTATTATTATTATTCAAATATGTTCAACTCAACTCTGGCTAGAACAACACTGTCCGATACAAATATAATGCAAGCTATATATGTAATTTAAATTTTTCAGGGGCACCTGGGTGGCTCAGTCAGTTAAGCATCCAACTTCAGCTCAGGTCATGATCTCACAGTTCATGGATTTGAGCCCCACGTTGGGCTCAGAGCCTGGAGCCTGCTTTGGATTCTGTGTGTGTCTCTCTCTCTGCCCTTCCCCCGCTCATGCTCTGTCCCTATCTCTATCTCTGTCTCTGTCTTGTCTCTCTCTCAAAAGTAAACATTAAAATTTTTTTTTTTAATTTTCAGAAGCTGGGGTGCCTGGGGGGCTCAGTCAGTTAAGCGTCTGGCTTCAGCTCTGCTGTCAGCACAGAGCCCCCTTCAGATCTTCTGTCTCCCTTTCTCTCTTCCCCTACCTCGCTCACATACACGTGCACACATGCTCTCTCACATTCTCTCTCAAAAATAAATAAATGTTAAAAAAAATAAAATTTTCAGTAGCTGCATTTTAAGAAGTACCAAAATGGGTGCCTGTGTGGCTCAGTCGGTTAAGCGTCTGGCTTCAGCTCAGGTCATGATCTTACGGGTTGTGGGTTTGAGCCCCGCATCGGGCTCTGTGCTGACAGTTAGCTCAGAGCCTGGAACCTGCTTCAGATTCTGTCTCTCTCTCTCTCTCTCTCTCTCTTTCTCCCTCTCTCTCTCTCTCTCTCTCTCTCTCTCAGAAATAAATAAAACATAAAAAAATTTTTTTGAATAAGAAGTACCAAGGAATGGATGAAATTAATTTTAACAGTTTATTTATTTAGCCCAAAATATCCATTTCAACATTTTTTAATGCTTATATATTTATTTTGAGAGAGGGACTGCACAGGGGGAAGAGGCAGAGAGAGAGGGAGAGAATCCCAAGCAGCGCAGAGCCCAACACAGGGCTTGATTTCAAGAACCATGAGATCATAACCTGAGCCGAAATCAAGAGTCAGATGCTTAACCAGCTGAGCCACCTAAGTGCCCTGGAGTATTCTTTTTAAATTTTAAATTAAGTCAGGGGCACCTGGGTGGCTTAGTCGGTTAAGTATCTGACTTTGGCTCAGGTCATGATCTCACAGTTTGTGGGTTTGAGCCCCATGTCAGGCTCTGTGCTGACAGCTCAGAGCTTGGAGTCTGCTTTGCTTCTGTGTCTCCCACTCTCTCTGCCCTACCTCTCCTCACAGAAATAAACATTAATTTTTTGTAATTTTAAATTAATTCAAACCAAATAAGATTAAAAATTCAGTTCCTCAGTAGCCTAGCCACATGTGACTACGTGGCCACTGTATGTACTGTGCCTCTAGACAATCAAGTCCTACATGGCAAGGCTGGTGGCCTCTATGGCCCACAGCCAGAGCTAGGCCTCCCAAAGTATAGCTGAATCTGAAGAGAATGGTGTCTACTCATTCAGTGAACGCCTACTGAGCCTAATATTAATATCTACCTCCGGTGCCTGTTACCTTCACAGTGATAGTGACAAAGGGATCAGAGTACTGATTGTTCAGAGAATGACGGTGTGGCTTAGAGAGGTGGGCCACCTCCCAAGGTCACCCAGCTTAGATCCCAGGCCTGTCTGACTTGGAAGCCTGAGCTCTGTCCTTAAAACTTGACAGGGGCTGGGTCTGGGCTTCAGTCTTCTAGAGAAAGAAGTAAGCCTTTGCCACCATTCTTATGAACCCTATCCCCTAGTCTAGCAGCAGAGAATAACCCGGAACAGGATACCCAGTAAAGAAGAATAAAAGGGAAGGAAAGCAGAAGAAAGGTATGGCCTTTTCTTAGGTAGCAGTCCTGTACATGGACCTTAGGCCACTTGTGACACCATCCCTACCACCCCCCACCCCTACAAGGCAGGAGGCAAAATCAGCAAGGTCCACTGGCTGCCAGCCCTCTGGGTGGGTCCCTGGAGCTAGGCGCCATGCCCTGTCTTGCACCTCCCCCAAAAGCACTCACTCAGAGGCTCTAGGATCATGGCCAGAGCCATTACTCACCTCCCAGGGTCACCTCCACTGGAGTCCAGGGAGAGGGTCCAAGAAGCAGCCTGCCCCCTGGAAAGGGGAGAGAGGAGCAGGCCCTGGAGGCAGATTCCAAAGTCAAGAAAAGGTGGCAGGTATGGGCCAGAAAACCCTGGTGGTCTCCGCCCCTCTCTGGGGGAGCACAGCTAGTATTCAGCTCCCTCCCATCGGCCCCACAGGGTGAAACTCTCAGCAGTTATTACGTTTAACCATTAACTTTGATTCTTTTCCATTTCAGCAGGAGGCAGATCCGGCAAAAAAGTCCCATCTGGGGCTAATGAGTCTTGGAAGGGGAGAGAAGAGGAAGGGGTAGGCGTGAAGGGAGAAAGGGGTGGTTAGTGAACCCACTCACTTCCTCCTTCCCATCCCGTCCTACCAATGTGGGACAGCCTTCTCGCCAAGAGAGGCCTTCACTCCACAGAGTCAGGGGCAGTGACCCGGCACATAGTAGGTGCTCAGTCAATATTTTTAATTAACAAAGGAGTAGGGTGAACTAGAATAAAACAGGCCAGATAGATGGGCAGACTGATGGAGAAATATAGGAGACAAAAAGTGGCTTGCCCTGGGCTGGCACCCCCCTGAGCCCTTTGACCCCAGGTCCTCACTGAGACTCAGCTGGACTGAGAACAGGGACCAAAGCCACCTAGGGCATGCCAGGGGTGTGGCTTTGAAGGAATGTCCCCCAGCCCTGGCCCTGTTCTTCCTAGCTGTGACCCTTGGAGGCCTCACATCTTCCCCCATAAAATAGGGGTGATACTGGTAGAGTATCACATACAAGGATGTACAGGGCCATGCCCACAGATGATGGGGTGCTCTGTGCCACTGTAATACAATCGTGTCTCTTGCTGCTTGGCAACAGCCTTCTCTTCTTAGACCACCCCCTGAATTCCTCCACCCCCCAATATTCCCCTGACTCCCACCTATGTGGTCTCTTTTCCTTTCCGGGAAGGAAAACCCAGAATAATGACGGCTCCAGCCCACTCACATCCCACTCGCCTGGGATCACACACACACCCTGGCAACAGATTGCTACCAATATGGCATTTGCTTGTTACTTACACCCCTCCTCGGGTTCCTTGTCCCCCTCCTCACCCTCTTCCCCCCACCCCAACGCAGGCCTAGGTCCACAGCCCACCTGGGGCTGGCACTGAACCCACCGTGGCCAGTGAACTGGCCAGTTTTTGGGCGGGGGCTCCCCCTCCTGGGCCTCTGCTTCCCATCTGTGTAATGTGGGGATGAGGAAGGCGAATTAAGAGATGGCTTCTCCTGCTGGCCAGCTCTGATACTTAGAGATTCTGACATTTCTGGGATCAGTTTGTACTTTACCTTCAGACAGACCAGAGTTCCAATATCTACCTCAGCCAGGTAAAAAGGTGGCCCTATTATTATGGGACAGACTCCAAGGCAGGCCTGCAGAGCCTTGGAACTATAGTCCACCCCTGACCATTCTCAGCTCAAGCCCAGATAGACAGACAAAGCTGCCCCCACCAATACCCCCACCACAAAGCCCTACTCTTCTAGTCTTTTCTCTCTCGTTCTCCATAGTGGCATCATGATCCATCCATCCCCCAAACTCTTCTTGGCTAAACAAAGCTTGATACTGCCCCTCCATCTGGGGTGCTGACCCTAAGCCCCTTCTGTGTAGAGGTTCTGGAGCTGCCTCTGCTTTCACTCTTTCACTCTTCAAGTGTGTACCCCACGTTCTTATCTCCAATCTTGGGCTCCCCTCCTTTACCTCCATAGGGAATACCTGTCTACACTGATTATGGAGTCTACCCTGATCTCTCCGTCTTCAGCTCAGTCTGCCATATTTCTTCCAGATGCTACTCCTTGTGGAAGACTCTTACTGCCCCTACATGACCTTAGAACTGTGGAGACCAAGAGACTCTTACAATGATTTTTCTCTGTGTCTCACTCTCTCCCCCAGTATGATGCTCCAACCATAATAGGTGTCTGCCAAAACAATAATGATAATAACGATTAACTGAGAAATAGTGAATTATAATCATATATTGACCTTTTATTCTATAAAATGCTCATATCTCAGCATTTTACACATATCATTTCAGTTAATCCTCCCAAACCTCCAACAGACTTGTTATTCCTAGCCCTTTGATTTAAGCTGAGAAAACCGAGGCTCAGAGAGGTGAAGTCACTTACCCAAGGTCACACAGCCAAGAAATGGCAGAGTCAAGACTGGAGTTGACTGCCCTACTTGGCCTCCCTCCAATCCACAAAGAAAGAAGGGGAGGTGTATGAAGTTGTGCCAGGGATGGGATCATGGGGGCTCCAGAGAACCCAGCCCAGCCCAAGGCCAGAGGCAGATTCTGCAAATAAAACTCAATAACCTCTCAATAACCTGCCCTGTGCAAAGCCCTGAGCTAGGTGCTAGGGAGCAAAGAATGATACATGAAACATCCCAGAGCTCACAATCCTGCAAGACAAGCCCATGTCCCAAGATAAAGCTAAGACTAGGCAGAACTTGTCCCCAGAGGGGAAAAGATAAGGTGCTAAGGGAATGCAGAGGAATGACAGATTTTCATTACAGGAGTGAGGATGGGAGGGTCCGCAGGCTTTGTGGGAGAGAGGTTTGCATCTGAGCCAAGCCATGAAAAGGCAGACAGGATTTCAATAGTGATTTTAAAAAGGCGGGGGGGGGGGGGGGGGGGGGGGG